GGGAGGACCCTCCTGGTCCTCCTTCCGTAGAGCGGCTGGTGGGTTTAAACCGCCAACATTCTGGTTAGCATCAAAGGCCTTAACATAGATGATAAAGAACTCTGAGCGGAGAAGTGCAGCAGGTGTGAGTGAGGCGAGGAGGTCCTACCCTTTCCTTTCCCCATACCCCTCCTTATCCCATTTTGCTGCCCCCCACCCTTTCAGGCTCCAGCCTCTAGTGGAGGGTGGCTGGGGGTGAGCCAGGCTTGCCCGATAGTTAAGGAAGGACCAACGGCGGATAGCAGGTGGCCAGCGGCCGCCTTGAACGGCTGGCACGCTGAAATGCCCAGAACCCAGATTCAGCCACCCCAGCCATGCCCCACCTGGCGCTCTGCACCCCGAAGGGCGCCCCGCTGAACCACTTGGTGGCCATGGCGCCGGCCCACCCCGAGTCCCAGAGGGCCAAAGGGAGGTCCACCTCCCACTCCTGCACTAGTTGGCGCGCAGCAGCTCTGGCCGGGCTGCTGCCACGGCAACCAGAGCCTTGTGATCTGTAAGAGAACTGTGCGCCCCGCCTTCGCCCCCGCGGGGCCCCCCGGTGGGCATGCCTTCTCCACTCATCCAGACTTTTTCATTCTTACATCCACGTTTCCAGTGCTGCTGTATCAGAGGGGTTTCCCTGATCCCTGCCGATGTCATTGCACCTTTTAGTGTTTAATATGGACGCCATGTGGTCAGATTTGTGTCATTTGTTGAGCTATGTCTGATTTCTCGCTTTATCCCGGCGCCCAGCGTGGGGCCTGATAGAGCCAAGGCTCAGCAAATGCTTCTTAATGTCCACTTTGTGCTGATGAGAAAACAGAGGCCGACAGCGAGGGCACGACTTCAACTTTGGCAAAGTGGGCATCTGGACTTCTCCAGATGGGAAGGGAAGAAGGGGAAAAAGGGAGGGCCAAAGAGAGCTGGAGCTTGGAGGGGCTGAAGCCAGGCTAGAGGGGGAGGGAGTAGGTTGCAAGGATGGAGTGAGGACTCATCCATCCCCAGATACTCTCTGACACCCTCTGACTCCCCCTGACTCCCCCTGACTCCCACTCTGGGCAGGCACTGTGCAGAGTGCCTAGAACCAAGATGTGGTCCCTGCTCTGAGAGTCTAAATGGGAGAAACAATGATCACCTTTCAAGCCTTTGAAATCAAGCCTTTGAAAAAAGGAGACCTCTGACCCAGTCTGAAAGTGCATAGATGAGGGAAGATTTCCTGGAGGAGGAGAATTCCAAACTCAGCATTGAACCATGTGTACTTTGCCAGGTGAAGAAGGGACTGGGTGGCCTATGTCCCCATGGTCAGCTCTTTTCTCTCCTCTTTTGCCCCCATCAGTGTTTGTCATGCTGTGAGATTGTCTAATATCTCCCACAATCTCCTTTGATCCTCCCAAGAGCTTTATGTCATTATTGTTGCCCTCAAGTCAAATCCAACTCATAGCAAACCTATAGGGTAGAGTAAAACTGCCCCATAAGGTTTCCAAGGCTCTAATCTTTACAAAAGCAGATTGCCACATCTTTCTCCCACAGAGCAGCTGGTGGATTCAAACTGCTGACCTTTTGGTTAGCAGATGAGCACTTAATCACTGTACCACCAGTTCCTTAAGGGCCTTATAAGGGCTTGCAAAGTGGGACAGAGAGCATCACCCCCTTCAATGATGACACGACTGAAATCAGAGAGGGGAAGACTTGCCCGGGGTCCTGCACCCAGTCAGTGGCAAAGCTGGACAAAGGGGACAGTGGGGCTTCTTCCAGGCCCCCCATAATGCCCTTCTGACATCCCAAGCTGGCATTTAAATAGGAAGAGAGTCCAGTCAGCAGCTGGACTCTTAGGCTCCAAGCCCGGTGGGCACATGGTTAGCTGAGTATCCACACTGCACTGCTGAGCAACCAACCTCAGGGACTCACACAGAATAGAATACCCAGTCACCCAAACACATCCTCTGCTGCTTCTCAGCTGTGTGACAGTGGATAAGTCACTTCCTTCTCTGAGTCTCAGCTTTCTTATTGGTAAAATGATCATAGTCTCTCCAGATTACTGTAAGGATTAAATGAGATAATTTAGGCAAGGTTCCTGGCACATTATAAATGCTCATAGGAAGCCATTCCCAGCCCTCGGAAAGGGATCTTTCAGAAGACCCAAGGGCAGGGACTATGACTAATTCACTCTTTGTGTGTGTGTATGTGTGTGTGTCTAAGATCCAGTGCAGTGCCCAGCACATAGTAAATGCTCACAAAATAGTTGTTGAATGAGTTGAATGATAAGTGAATAAATAAATACAGTCCAACTTTCCCGTAATGCCTAAATCCTCAGGCTCACATTTGAATCCTGGCTCCACTGCTTCCTAGCAGGCAGCTTTGGGCATATTACCTACCATCTCCAAACTTCAATTTCCTCATCTGTGACATGGACGTATGACTGTGGCTTCCAGAAGGAGCTGTTTTGAGGTGACAGTGAGGTATGGATGTGTACACTATGAAGTCTTAAGTTCAGGGGAGGCCCTTTGACCAGTCCTGGTCTGTGTATGGTGTTCTCAAGGGCAGCCCCCACCTGCCTGAGGCGCTTTGCTCCTTCCCTCTTGACTTGAGCCCCTTGGCTCCAGAGCTGATGGAGGAGTGATCAGAGAGTGTAGGCCAAAGGGGCTTTGGGCTGGGAAACCTGGCTGCCAGGCAGGCCACAGCAGGCCAGGGTGAGTCAGCTCTGCCTCAAGGCAGACTGCCTTGGTCTGCCCAAAGCCTCCCTGTCATAGCCACTTCCTTATTACAACCACTTCATTCTCTCCTGTAGGTACTATTGCAACTTCCTCCTGCCTCTATTCTACACAAAACTAAAGCTCAGACAGGGAGAATAACTGGTCCTGTCACACTCTGAGGTATAGGGTCACACAGTGAAGATGGGACTCATAATTAGATTTAGGAGCTCTGTGGCTACCGGAGTTCTAACCCATCCAGACTCCAAAGCAATCTGTTAAGTCAAGGGAGTCAAGTGAAGCTTCTTAGCCAGGATTCAGGCCTCTCTGATTGGACGTGGCCCTTGACTCCAGCCCTCATTTCCTGCTATCTCTTCCCCACACTCTCTAACCTCCATACCTATGGGGCTGCTCTGTCCCCCAGGACACACCCTGCGCTGATGAACCTCTGGATCTTTCCCTTTGCTGGAATGCTACCCACTCCCACCCACTTACTGTCCCTACTCAACTCATCCTCATCTTAGATCAAAAGCCTGACCCTCTGAGAATCCATTCCTGATCCTCTCAAGCAAGGAAAAGCTCTAGTTTCATCTCATTATCATCAGCAATGTACACTGACAATTTTTAATTTAAAAATTAATAAGTTATATTTTAAAAAATTGACAGGTGAAAAATGGTACCAGAATACTATGTTAATTTACATTTTTACTACTAAAGTCAAAGATTTTTCCAAGTTGACTAGTTGGCTATATTTCTTCTTTTGAAAATGATCTATTTTCTAAGAAGGTAAGGAAGCAGGCATCTCAGGAGCCCAGTCCCAGGTGGAATGAGGAGCAGGAGGGATTTGAAAGTTCAGAATTGCTACAAATCCCAAGTATTAGAGGATCAGGCAGTCACTGCTTAGCTAGAGGTTAAGTTCCAATCCTAGGAAAGAAAACTGGCAATAGTAAGAAATCAAGGACCAAGGGCCGAATGCTGGGAGGAGACAGCTGGGAACCAAGAAGGAGGAGGTGAGAGCCCACACTTAATCAAGGTCACCCTTAATGTCTTCCCTACCCCATTCACTGATACAAAAGTGAGGCACAGAGAGATGAAGCAACTTGTCCAAGGTCACAATTTATTAGAGATGGAGAATGCGGATTACAGCCAGCAGGAAGAACCTCCCATAGTTCTGCCACAGAGGCCAGATGCTGAGCAGAGAGGAGGCAAGAGAAATCCCATCAGGGGAAACCTGGGAAATGATGGTCAAAGGAAAAGAGGAGGGAGGTGGCAGGCTTCATTCAAAGGAAGGAGAACTCAGAGGAACTGTGAAGAAGGCTGAGAGACCAGAGGAGGGTGGGATGGGACAGCAAGCAGCAGGAATGAAGGTGGCTTCCGCAGATGCAAGGGCCAAAAGAGTGGGGCAGCAGAAGAAAGACCTGGCTGGATCCAACAAAGTGCAGTTCCGGGCATGCCTCAGAACGCCACAGTTCCGTGACTGGATCAAGGTCCTTCCCTCGGGTGAGCCTCAGTTTCTTTATCTGCTGAGCAGAGAGAGTAAAAACATGCCTTATATCATGCAACGTAGTTTGCGCGCACTCCAATTTGGCAATGCATTAGTTTTTCTGGAGCACCTAGTTGTGTAACACAAGCGTCTAACAGCCGCTGAGCAACGAAAGCGGAAACACCCACAGGGCGCTCCAGGAGCCACGCTCAGACCCACCCACCCGCAGGAGGGGCCCTGAGACCCGGAGGCAGCCACGCCTGGGGTTCTGCGCTTGCTGACCCTCGCCTCCCGCAAGACTCACTCAGGGGCAGCCCCATCCACTGCCCACAGCAGCCTCCAGGTCAAGAATGAGGCCCTGGGAGCCACAGGGCAGCCATGACGGAACCGGAGGCCGCTGCTGAGGACCTGGACGCCCTCATCGATGAGTTGGATTACCTCCCAGGCCACTTTCACCTGGAGATGCAACTGAACTTCGAGCTGCGCTCGCCGGCCTCACTCCGCGCTAGGGACTTAAAGCTGCAGCGGGAGGGCCTGCGACAGGAGCTCGAGCTGGCGCCCGCCCCACAGCGCCCCGCCGTGCGCCATCTCCTGGGCACCTTCGCTTTCTACCTAGAGGAACTGGACGAGGCCCGCGAGCGCTTCTTCGAGGTGGCCCGCGACGACCCGGGCAACCTCAATGCCTGGGCCAATTTGGCACATGTATACGGGAGGCTAGGGCAAGAAGAGGAGGAGGAGGAGTGCGCGGGTCGGTTGGCGGCTCTCATGGGCCTTGCGGCCGGCCCGGACGCCACTGGAGACCCCCAGCTCCGCGCGGCGCGTTGTCTGGCGGAGCAGGGCTATGCGCACGGCTTCGATGTGGGCTGCGCCAGCCTGGAGGAGCGCGCGCGGGGGCTGGCGGCGGGGGTCGCGCTGTATGACAAGGCACTGGGCTACGCGCAGCAGGTGGGTGACTCTTGGCAGGAGTCGTGGCTCCTTCTGTCTGCAGGGACCACACCCCAGCATGCTCCTTCTGCCCAGCCTCTCCCCAAACCCTGGCCCTTCGCCTCTTGAATACCTTTCCAATGTACGTCTTCTCTTCTGCATCCCAGTCGCAAAACAAGCCTGTAGCTTCTCTTTCCTGGGCTAAGGGGGTGGACCTGCTTCCTAGCGCGGCTGCCTCCTAAGTCTGTCTTCTGGTAATATGGCAAACTCATTCCGACTAACTCATTCTCTTGCCTTGTTCCTTCCAGCCAATATTGACCAGTCAGTCCATGGGCCTATACACACCCTCTTAACTAAGACGCAACCAGACATCACTGCCAGAAACCTGTGCAGCATTTGCACCTCCTCTGTTTCCCTCACCACCCCCACAATCTGGTCAGACCCCAAATCTTGGCCATCTCACCTCCCCTGTATCTGTAAGATCTATATACTCTGCAGCCTTCCTGTGCTAACCCAGCCTCCATTATTTTTTGCCTGGACCAGTGTAGCTTTAGTCCTGGTCCAGGACTAAAAGCCTGGGTTCCTGCCCTCCAGCTTGAACTTTTCACTTTATCCTCTCCTCTGCTGCCACTGGCTTGCTGCTTAATCTTGCTGGCCACACCCCTCAGCTGCTAGCAACCCCCAGTTGCTCACTACTGCCCAGAAGATAAATCTCAGGCTCTTTGATGAGCATTTGAGCCTCTCTATAACCTCCCTCTCTGTCTTCCCTCTGCCAAGTTCCCTCCTGCAATCTAGCTTTATGCCACATTCTTCTTCCTCTTGTTCCCCACATGGGACAAGTCTCCATAGCCTGCCTTGCTTTTTTCTCAGCAGCAACTTCCTGAAAGGCCCTCCTATTCTACCTTTGCCTGGAATGTTCTCCTTAATTTCAGTTTTGTCTTAGACATCTTCTCCTCTAGGAAGCTTCTGCTAGCTTCTCCAGCCTGGGACAAGGGTCTCCTCAGAGTTTCCCTAACACTGCTCACATTGTCCATTTAAAGTCTGTCTCCCCAACTCAATCTTGAAGTCTTTGGGAATGGAAATGACTTTCATCTGGTTTGCCACTGTAAAGCCAAAACCTGGCACTGCGGCACATAGTGACAATAAATGTGTCTTGAATGAAGCATATGTGCAGCATACGGCCTGGCACCAACTAGACCTACAAGGTGTATTGGTTATCTATTACTGCATAGCAAATCTCCCCAAAACTCAGTGGCTTAAAACCACAGGCATTTATTATGCACAGTTTCTATGGGTCAGGAACCCAGGCATGGCTTACCTGGATGTGTCTGAGCTGCGGACTCATCTGAAGGCTTATTTGACTGGGGAAGGATCTGTTTCCAAGTTTATTTGGTCGGCAGAGTTCAATTTTTCACTGGCAGTTGGCCAAAGGCCTCCCTCAGTTCTTTGCCACAGTGACGGCAGCTCACAATATGCTCTTCTCTCAGAGCAAGAGAGTGAGCAAGGGAGGGCGCCCAAGACAGAACCCAGTCTTTTTTGTAACCTAATCTCATCCTATCACTTTTGCTGTATTCTGTTCATTAGAAGCAAGTCACTAGGTGAAGGTGATGTTCGAAGGGAGGGAACTACACAAGGGCATGAATGCCAGGAGACTGAGGTCACTGGGGCATCTCAGAGGCTTCCTGCCATCTAGGCATTGGATGACAGTGGATGATGTAGACAGCCAGGCTCTTGTTACAGAAGAGGAAAGCACAGTTCAGAGCGGTACCATGACTTTATAGGCACACCATGGGCAGGGTTGAGCTGCTGCTGCTGTTTTATAATGCTGTAGATTTAAATAACAAGATGCCCTCACATACAGGTAGCATGTCTCCATTCACAAGGCCATTGCACACCCTCTCAGTGTTTTTCCAGGGTAGAAGTTAAGAGGGTAGACTCTGGGTCAGATGGGCTGGGTTCATATCCCAACTCTTCCATGCTCCCTTACTTCAAATTGGTACTTCGCATCTCAGTTTTACTCTCTGTAAAATGGGGATAATAATAATAGTTATGCTATAGGATAACTGTGAAGAGTCAATGAGTTAATTTAGGCTCAACACCTAGAACTGGGCCTGGGACTAGTAGCACTCCATGTAGGATAGCTATTATTAGCACTCATTGTGGCTCCAGCCACACTGTAAGACAGAATGTTGCTTGTCCATCATCTTGGTTAGAGCTGAGATTGGCATTTACATCTCTTGTCTCATTACATGGTCCCCACACCCCTGGGAAGGCAGCATTATTATTGGCTCCACTTTATATAAAGGAGTTGGCTCATGTTGTGGTTGAGAGCATGGATTCCAGCTAGAGCCCTGACTGTGTGACCCTGGACAAATGGCTTAACCTCTTGGAGCTTCAGCCTCCTCATCTGTGAAATGAAGACATTCTTCAGTTGGTTGCTGTTATAAGTATCGTAAGGAGCCCTGGTGGCACAGTGCTTAAGCACTTGGCTGCTAACGGAAAAGTTGGTGGTTTGAACCCCCCAGCTGCTCCACAGGAGAAATATGCGGCAGTCTGTTTCCACAAAGATTACAGCCTTAGAAACCCTATGGGGCAGTTTTACCCTGTTCTATAGGGTTGTTATAAGTCAGAAACAACTCAGTGGTAACAGCTTTGGTTTGGGTTTTTATCATTGTTATTGTCAGGGGATGTTGAGTTGATTTCCGCCTCATGGCAACCCCATGTGATAGACTAGAACTGCTCCACAGGGTTTTTAAGCTGTAATCTTTATGTGAGCAGATCCCTAGGTCTTTTCTTCCATGGAGTGGCTAAGTGGGTTCAAACCACTAACCTTTTGGTCAGCAGCCAAGCAGTTGACTGTTATACCACCAGGGCTCCTTGCTGTTATCATTAAGAAGTAATGCTTGTAAAGCACGTAGAATGGTGACTGCACAGAGATGACCAAGATCGGAATCCAGCCCTGCCACTACCTGGCAGTGAGCTCCTCCTCAGTACAGCCTGGGAGAGTCTCCTCCACCCCTAAGCTGTGTAAACGTGGCCATAATGTAGAACCAACAGGGACCCAGCGTTCTTGTTTTAAATCCAGAGCTTATAGCCCTGAATGCCAGACTGCCCTAAGTGGAAGGCACAGTTGGTGTTGTATATACTGAATGTGGTCACAGCAGAAGAAGGGGCCTAAAGAGCCCTGAGCTGGGACCCAGGAAGACCAGGTTCTTATCTGGGCTGCAGCTGACTCACTGTGGGCCTTCTGCTCTCTGGAATGTGGTTGCCCATTCATGAAATGTGGGTGGGAGACTGGACTGTATGGTCTTCAAAGTCTCTTCCTGTGTTCAAGAGCGGATGGCTTCCTGGAGGAGGTGAGCAGGGAGGCAGAGTTTGGAGTTGGAGACCTGACAGTGGCCAGCTCTTTCCCTGCTGCCAGTCTGCACAGCCACAGTGGGTGGGGCCCTACAAGTGCACACCCAGCTGAGAAAGTGCTAAGCAGGGCATAGCCCAGTGCCCCAAGGAGGGAGCTGATAGAGTCAGGTGTTGAGACTTAGCCACTCTCTGTGCTGAGTCCTTGAGCCTGTCCCAGCTCCCTGGCTCTGGACAGAGCAGCTGTGGTCAGCCCCCAATACCCAGACCCCAGAAGAAAGTAGAGGATTACTGTGATGATTAGAGATGAGATCTTGCTCTTCTAAAATACCTACCACAAAGCAGGTACTTTAGAAACAGTAGTCACGACCAAGACAATGATGTCTTCATTTATAGTTAGAGTCAGGGGACATGGGTTTGAGTTCTGTTATTATTTTGCTGTGTGACTTTGGACATGTTACTTTTTATCTCTGGGTCTCAGTGTACGCTTCATAAACATTAAATAATAACAATGACTGCCTCAAGTGTACTGGGATTATCCAGTCAAATGATGGGGCAAAGTGCCCATAAGCTGATAAATTCTGGGTAACAGCATCACTAGGGTTGATGTCACCCAATGCAGTAATTCATGGTGTCACCCATCCCACCATTGATCTCCTCATATTCCAGATCATACAGAATCCTTAGTAATCCTTATTATCAACTTTAATCATAGACTATTATGTGATAAATATAGTTGTAAATTGTTTAAATGTCATATTTCTTAGATTATATGAATACTAACAATTGTCTTCTAAAATCTTCCTACCCTGGATATGACATTATTAGTTGTGATATTAAAAGTAAGTGGAAGCCTTTTTTGGTTTTTCCCTTCTTTTCCTTTAATTACTTCGTTCTCAAAAAAGTTATTGATAAATATTCACAAATACTAATTAGCACAATATTGTAGCTAAAACACAGAAAATTTGACAAAACCAGCAACTATAAAAAAAGCAGCAGCAATGAACAACAACAGCACATGCTTGTAGTGTGTGGCAGACAAAGCCACAGTTCAAAGTGTCATTGTAATTGGGTAATAATGCCAGCTCTGACCAGAGCACATTAGAAGGTTCAAAAAGTAAATAAGCATAGAGTTTTAGCCTTGTAAGTACATGGATACATGTAAGCTGGACTTAGGAAAAATGTTTCTGTTGTTATAAGTAACTATGGGGATATTTTTATTAAAAAAATAAGAATAAATTTCTGCTGAAACACTGCAGAAAAATTTTATAAACAGTCATTTTGGTGTTACTGCCTCTGACATTGTCACCTGCTGCAGTGATGCCACTTAGTGATGCCCCTGCTGGGCATGTCTGAGAGCCATTTACTCAGCATCTGAACATTTATTGAGCACCTGCTATGTGCCAGGCCCTGTCTTTAAGAAGTTGTTTACAAAGCCCATGGACAAAGGGCTTTGTTAACTAGCCCTTTATCTGAGCTCTTTAACTGGGAATAGGAGACAAAGGGATAGATCAGAGATGTGCCTACAGCTGGTCAAGGTCAAAGGTATTCCCTACATGGCCCATGTAGCATGATGATTGTCTCTGAGTGCCATGTGCCCAGAGACCATATTTTCTGAACTAAAATCAGGGCCCCAGAGGCTGACAATGGAAGTTCATACTGGGGAC